CCCGCCGAGCGCTCGCTGCCTCCGCGGCAGCCGCGGCGCTTCCACCTGCGCAGCCACCGCGCCGCCCTGCCCGCGCTGCCATTGGCTCGCTAAAAATGCCTCTCTAATCTGCGCGCGTCCGCGCCGCCTCCTCCTCCCCGCCCCCGCCTCGGCTCTGACCTTCCTCCTTCCCGCAGCCCCGGCGCGATCCCGGAGAGACGCGGTGGCGGCGGCGGCGCCAGCCCCTCACTCCCCCGGGAAGTCGTCCGGGCTTGAGCCGGCCCCGGACGCCCCGCTTCGCCCCGTGGCGCCGGCGGTGGTGCTCGGCGCCGCTGCCTCCAGGTAGGGGGGCTGGCCCTTGGTTAGAGGGCTGGGGTCGGGAGGGGGTCCGCTTAGGGAGTGCGTGTTGGCGGCGGGCCCCGGACTGACATCTTCCTGGGCCAGCGCGGGGGAGTGGGGGCAGTGCGGGGAGGATTGTGCAGTTACCTGGAGAGAGGTGGGCACGCGCCCGGGGATGCTTTGCAGGTGATGGGGAGTTCGCAGGCATCACCCGGGCAGTGCCAGAATGCCCCTGCGCTGGGTCCCTTGGGCAGGGAGCCGGCAGTGGAGGCTTTTACCCTGGGGAAAGCGCCGGAAATAGGTTCCCTGAGAAGCTGGGGCCTGGGCCTGGGGTGGTCCAAGTCTCCCGCTTGGGGTGTTGTGGTACCAGAAGGGGTGGGTGGGCTCGTGCCAGCTTGCTGTGTAGGCTATTTACGGATCAGAGTGGGCTGGAGAGAAACACAGCAGCTGATGCCTGTCTGGTTTATGATTAAAGGTATTTCCTTCTGTCCCTCTGCCCCTTCCCCCACAGCTGGGATGGGAGGGGAGGAGGCGAGAAGGTGATGCTGAAAGGCCCGCAGATACAGCAGAAGTGATGGGCTGCCGGGCACTGCCCTCTTCTTCAAGCCCTGGGCCACTTGCTGCCTATTGAAGCTCTCTCTCTTCCTTATTTGCACCGTACAGGGCCTGGGAAAAGGCTCAAGGGTCATCAGGATGTGGGGGACACAGTGGCAAATCCCATAGCTTGGCCAGACCCAGCTTCAAACCCCATGTGTCCCCTACCCCCAACAGCCCAGCTCTGCACCACATGGGCAGTGACACATGTGGCTGCTTTTTTCTAGGCACTACCATAAATAACCCGCATTGCCCCAGCCCCTGGCACAGCTAGGGTGCAAGCAGGACTGTCTGTCAGTGACTTGGGGGGCTCTGTCCCCTATCCTGGATGTCCCATCACATGTCCAAATCACCACTCTCAAGCCACCCCCTCCAGGCAGCTGCCCTGGTAGCCCAGGTGAGATCCTTGCCTCCCGCCCCATGTTCTTGGAGCCAGTCTGCCTCATGGCTTGGTTATTTGTGTCTTGTTTGTCGCCCTCTAAACCAGAAGTGCTTTCAGGCTGGGAACCTGCCTGATTCATCTCTGTCGTTGCCCCTGCACCTGACCAGGGTTTGGCACCAAGTAAATATCTGTGGACTGAATGAATGATTGCGTGGATGTGAACTCTGGGAAATAGCCGGCAACCTGAAGGAGGCAGGTGAGCCCCCTCTTGGGCTTGCTTTCTATGCCCCAGGACCAGAGAGCCACCCAAACCACACAGTTCTATTTAGGCCTTTCCTAAGCCTGGAGCTGAGGGGCAGCTATGGCTGTGATGGGCATCTGTGTGTCACAATCCCGCTGTCTCCAGAGGTGGCGTTGGGCCCTGGTTTGAGTGCCCGAGCCCAGTGCAGCTTGGTGGAAGGCCTGGTGTAAGGGTCTGGCTCTCCGCATGCCACTGGGTTGGTCATTTATTCCTGGGGTCTTAAGCTCAGACCTGAGGTCTCTGCCCCTGTCCCAGCCCTTGGGAGAAAAATCCAGGTCAGCATCAGGAGGCAGAAAAGGCCCAAGCCAGGCTGTCCTCAGCCTCTGGGGGCCACATAGCCAGTTCTGGGCAAGTCTCATGACCCCATTGCATGCAGGAGCAAACCCAGGTCAGAGAAAGAGGCTGCCACCAAGGGTTCTGGCCCAGCCACAAGGCTGTGTCTGTGAAGGACGTCAACATTTGCAGAGCTCTTTTCTGTCCCTGTTGCTCCTTTGGTGGCCATGCAGTCTCCCTGAGGGCTCTGCCACCCTCCCAAGCCTGGGCTGACTCTCCCTTCTCACCCTCCCTCTGCCCCCAGCTGCCCTGCCCCTGCCCGCTTTCAGTTCCTACAGCAAGTTGTGCTCCTCTCACCTGCAGGCCTCTCTGCAGGCTGTTCTGCCTCCTCCTCTCCCTCTTCCTTCCCGCCCACTCCCTCGCACCCTCAGGAGCCCACCGAGACTTCTCTTCCTCCCAGAAGCCTCCCCAGCTGGGGCTGGGGGCCCCATACATGAACCCCCTCCCCAGTCTGCTCGCCCCTCCTAGAACCTCCATCACACCATGTCCTCTCGGGCTTCTGATTGTCGTGTCCCCACAGGGCTGTGGAGTCTGTGGGGGGCAGAGTCTGTGTCTTGTTTCCTGTGTCCCCAGGACCTGGCACAGTGGCCCCAGCTCGCCCTTGTGGAGTGAGTGACTGTTGGTCCTGTCATATACTCTCCTCACCGCTCTCGCCGGTCTCAGAGCATACTTAGCATTCTCCCTCTCGCATTAGGAGATGAGGAACCCCCTCAGAAATTTGCACGTGCCCCCTAGCAAGATCAAGTTGATGGTAGAAAGCCTTCGCTGGAGAAGTGAAACTGGCTGAGGGCCTGGCGGGACAGAACGGACAGGGAGGACATATGGGTTGGGGGCATTCCCTGATTTGGGGGTCCTCCCTGGGGAAGCAGGTAGAGGGATTGGGAGAGGGCTGCTTCCGTTTGGTTTTACATTTTTCTTAAAGAGAAAAAAAGCTCTTATTATTTTTCCTTATTACAAAAGTAATGTGTGTTTGCCATGGACAATTTAGAACATCCTGGAAAGCCAAATGAAGGAAACCCATTAGCCACACCGTCAGACCCACCCACTGTGGGCACTTAGTGGCTGGTTTCCAGCCAGGGGTACCCTGGACTGCAGGGGAGGGCCGGGACGGGGACTGGCAGGCAGGAGGGCAGTGGTCCCCGCCCGCTGTGGGAAGGGGGAAGGCAGCAGGGTGGGACCGAAGGAGAAGAGGAGCTCTGGTGCAGTCCCAGCAGGCAACCTCAGAGGACCCCACGGGGCGCTCTGGGGCTGGAGTGGCCCTTCGGAGCACATTTGCTGAGACGGTCAGGACTTCAGACACCAGCATGCAGCAGGCACTGATTGTGGGCATGCCCTTGGGCAGGTGGCTCTGCGGTAGCTGCAGTCCCCGAAGG